ATTTCTTCGCTGAATTTGGAACCGGATTTCGCGTTTGTCCTTCATCCGTCTTTATCTATTGAATTTTTTTGAGCGATTTTTCCTTTTTCGTTGCTCTTTTAATAGTCTAATTATGGCTTTGGCATACGTACCTTGTACCTACTAATCGTACGGATCAGATATCGTACTTGCGGTGTATTAGTGTGTGCGGAACCAGTATTTCACTTTTGCCGCTGGATCGCATACGATCGCACGCTGTGGACAATTGCTGATTTATTTCGAATTCCGATCGCGTTTTTTTCGATGTGTGTGCGTACATAGTACGTACCCATTTTATTTATCATTTAATTTATATATTTCTTGAGAATGAGTTACAATTAGCTTATTATTAACAGGATCTTTCACAGTTATTTGACATTTCACATCACAACAATAGTATAATGAATTTTGATTTAAAGTATATCACGTGTATCGGTGTCGGGTTGGTATGTTTCCAGGGACAGTCCATGTACGTATTATCAGGTTATCTACATGAGCGACCAGGAATCTATCCATCATTAGCATTTAGCACGGCGTTTAATGTATAGTCACGGACTAAAATATTAAGTTCAAGAATTATGGCTTATAGACTAGTACACTACTACACTAAGTGATTAATAATCGCACGCGTCCCTATTATCTTCAGAAACGTGGAGATTATTCGTGCAAAATAAAATATGATTAAATTCGGCGTTTAATCGCTTAGTGTGAGAGACAAGAGTGTGTAAGCTATTATTAATAAATTATTAAAATTAACACACAATGAAAATTTACAACAAACATCTTTTTTAGCGCCACCCCGAACTTGGGAGAATTAAATTAAAGAGGATGCATAATCTCACGGTAAATAACCACTGTCTATTAATATGAGTGAAAAGAAAAAAAACCGAGTGGTTCCGACTGTTCGGAGTATCGAAAAAGTGTCCAAGAGCGTATAGCAAGCCAGATGACGCGCTTATGAAAAAATTCTTTCGCTTGATGCATTTTTTGGTACACTTAAAACGACATCTAATAAAAAGTATACAGAATCATTGTTAGGTGTCTCAGTGATGAGCGTTGCAGTTACAAGTGGCGGTGTCGTCTACTAATGCTAGTACATTAAACCCTAACTGAATTGTTTTTAGAATAGTTATCAAAGAGTTTTTCTTATTACAAAGCAACTGATTAAAGTGTAAATACGATCGACGTGTGCGATGGCACAAGAATGCTAAGACTAGGGCGCTGAAATAATTCTTGTACTGGGCGTTGAAAAAGCTAAAACGGCCCTGACTGCGTGAATATTTTGCTATGTGCGGCATCGTTCAAAATGATGGCGATTTTTCAAAATTTGAGCGGCAATATTCTGATTAAAAACCGTAAGTAAAAATGTTTAATGTCTTGTTTGATGTTTATATGTTTTTTTATGAGCCTTCTCTAGGAACTTTTCTTATTCGAATAAATCATAGAGGCGTCAAATTCATTTTAGCCTACTGGTGACAGACTTCTTAATCAAGTCGGGGTTAGCGGATATGTATTAATTTGTTATTAAACTTTTTACCACCATAAAAACATTTACTATTTTATTAGTTTATTACTATATAAGGTGATTCACCGAGCATGTTCAATCAATTAATTTAAATTCTGATTCTTAGTATTTTTATTTTTAAGTAAATACTTCAAAATCATATTTTATAAATAATATTAATCTATTAATATTATAATATAATCTATAGAAATGTCTCAAGTATAATAAATACTATACTAAATAATTTGCTATTTTTTTTTACTTTAAATGTTAGCTATAAAAAAATCTATAAGTATTTCAAAGTATGAACTTTAAGTATTTTTAAAAATTACAAAAATTAAAATTTGAATAAATTCATTATTTATAAGGGAAAAATGGGGATGAATATGCTTGACGAATAATTCTGTACATAAAATCTTATAGCTGAATAAACATTAATAACGGCATGTCATAATAGAAGTTCATTAGTTTTATTTAATTTTTATTAAATGTGAAAAAAACAAATTAATAAATTCTCTGAATTTAAGTATTCCTTAATTGTATTAAGCATGCTTATTGTGTAAAAAAGTATTTTGTATATACTTTCATCTCGAATACCAAAATAATGAGATTGTACGAATAGTTATTAACTAAATAATTTAAACTATACAACAATTATCATAATTGTATTCTTTTTTTAATTGATAAGAATAGATAATTTTATAAATAATTAATTATTAAATTGTTATTAGCCACTAAGGTAAGATGTATGATATGCTATAACACACCAATGCCATATAACAGTACTTTGGTACTATTTATTACTTTCGATACTATAAATTTGTATGATCATATTTATGAATTTTATAAAAATTATATAATTGTTCAATTACGAGTATTAGGCATAGATTAAATTAGTATATTTATTCTATGGTATTAAGGTACCTTTTCTTTTACTTTGGAATTTCAAAATTGTATATTGTATTCATAATTCATATTCAATTATACCATGAATTATTAAAATAAAATTGTGTACTTTTAAAATGTTAAATTATGTGGTGAAATGTAGTGATATCTAATTTGTTTTATGATTTTATAAAACAAAAATTACAATTTAATTTACATTATTTGAATTTAATAAGTAAAATATAATTTATATATTTATACGTACATTATATTTATTATATATATATATATATTTAACTATTAGTTATATTAATAATAAAGAGCCTTTTTTACATCATTACAAGATAAAGGTTTTTATGTTAATTTTTGAATTTCATTAATTTAATACTTAAAAAAATATGTGCATAGAATGCTGATGATAAAGAAATAACTAATAAGTAAATAATAAATAATAATTGAGTATTTCATCATCTTACCTTAAAATCTTTATTTAGCTTGTGGTGTGAACCAAGTATAAACTATACTTGACCAGTACCGGATTTAAGATAGGAGGAAGGGCATTAGTAGCACTCATATTCAGGCTATTAAAAATCTTAAAATATGAATTATTTTTGAAAAGAAAAAATAATCTAGTACATAATAATAAAATAACCTGATAATTTTTGATTGTTTTACGAAAATATTTAATTTTTAATATTATAAAAATATTGTGTCATTACATAATACATAGGTACATAGACTTTTCATAAATAATAAAGGTCACTGCAGTGATGAAATGCTGTTTTGGTCGTATTTATTTTATTTTTCACATTTCAAAGAATAGAAATATTTGATGGTATAAGTGTATTATTATTAATTCATTGTTAATTGTTATAAATTTATAATGCTATTGATGTCTTGCCTATTGCCATGCCGCCGTCTAATAAAGTAAAGTAATATAAAAATATAAAATTAATCTATCAAAAGACGAAAACTTATCATTAACACAACGGGGACTTATTTATAAGTGTATGGTTGTAGTTTTGTTTTTATATTTGTCTACTATTTACAACAAGATTTCTTTTGTTTTCCATTATCGATATTAAAACTGACAGTACAAATACAAATTCTTCGTTAGGTATCCTCTTAGTCAGGTAGGTAACTATAAACTAGATAAATAATAACGGGGGGCATGGCCGTTTTCGATCAAAATCGTACAATTCCCTTTTCGGCTGATTCACTTTTCGACTAAATTAAAAAAAAACACCGATTCCCTTTTCGACCAAAACAAAATTTTATGTAATTTATATAAAAAAATAAAATTTAAATCATTTAAGTAGGTTTGTATCATATTAACATAAAAATGATGTCAATATATAGATATTCTTATATTTTAAATAATTTTCTACATTTTATTTTACAAAATTTTTTGTAACTTATACTTTTAATAATTTTTAAAATTATGCAATTATACAATTTCCCTAATTTTACAAAAAATAATATATAAATTATTTTATTTTTTTTACATACATTACATAAAATTTTGTTTTGGCCGAAAAGGGAAGGATACGATTTTGGTCGAAAAGGGAATAGATTTATTTTAAATTTGGTCGAAAAGTTAATCGGTCAAAAAAGGAAGGGTACATTTTTGGTCGAAAACGGTCTCGCTCGTAATAACTATGATCAGTGCGACTAATGTCTATACACATTATTGTTTTGTTGTTAATTAAATATATTGTTTTGTATTTATAAAGATAGTGTAAATTGGATAGGTTCTGGATAAGACAAATAATAGATAGGTTTATTTACTATTTAGAGGAATAATTTTATCATTTCTTTTACAATAAATTTAATTAATTAATTAAGTTGAACTATTTTTTTTTTCAAACAGCTGACATTGAAAAATGTATTGAATGAAATTAATTTTGTACATATACTGTAAGACTAATTGAACATAATATACCTTTCTGATTGTATTATGAAACGCGGGTCTTCTTGTATTGTCTGCTCTTGTTTGCACTTGACTATTAATGAAGATGTAAATAATAAATATTAAGATTTATTTTTTCATTGACGTACTAAAAATATGGTAATATTAGTATTTTTATACTATCTTCATAAAGTAAAATGTTAATGCAAATTCCAATTGAATTTTAAAATTTAATATTTTTAATGTATGTATTTATTTATAAATCGTAAATATTATAATAAATGTCTTTAATTTTTATTTTTATAATAAAAAATGTATATAGTTATAACAGCATAGGTGAAAATAATGCCAAAATAACGTTTTGATGTAAGTACATGTATATGCATTTAATATTTAATATAATATTCTATTCAATATAATATTCCTTTCTTTGTCTATATAATATATATATAAATATATTAGGTATAAAAGATTATTATAATAAAGTATTAAATAATACTTATTATATCATATTATATACTCATATTCGTACAACTTTAAATGCATTTTTTAAATAACACAACCATTTCACTGATTTTATCATTATCAATTTATTGTGATCAATGAGTATATTTAATTTTAGAACCTAATTAAATATACTCAGTACGTCAGTACTTATTAAAATTTATGAAAAAAACAAGCGCATGAAGATGAGGGCGGTATAATATTCTCAACTGACATGATAAAAAAAAAAATATGTATATATATAGGTAGGTAGTTATCAGATTTTATTTCTTCTATTTAAAACAGGACACAGCGTTGAAATAACATCTCCAGTAAAGTCGTCCTTTTTGTTGATTTCGTCTCTGTAGTTCCATCTGAAAGTAAACATAATCAATAAGCTTATGCATTAATAAACAATTTTTTTTATATATAAGATTTATAATCAAGCTAGTAATACTTGGAAATAAAAATCAAAACAATTGAAATTTAATTAATAATTAATACAAATAAAACTATTCATTATAAAAAATTATTAATGACATTAATTTTATTTTTTTATCGATCGAAATAAACATCTGAAACATTGCAGGACATTAGTTACATAGTTTTTTTTTCACATTATGATAGTTATCAATACAAATTTATTACGATCATACAATTTTATAAGTTAAGTTATACAAATTGGTTTGTTTGAGAAAAATTGATTAAGTCAAGGTTTCATTTGTGATTGGGTCCAAATGTAGTGTTAAAATAATGAGATAGTCTGCGATCATCCCGATCTTGACTGTATTTTAAGCAGTTCGTTATTATAAGCTTATGGATAGTTCAGTTCCACAGGTCAGGCATTCGGGGGTTAGTATCTGACCATCAGGAAACGGTGAGTAATTCCGGTGTGACCAATACGTAATCAGTTGAGGACAGTGTCTTCTTTACGCTTTGGCTGTGGATTTAACCGTCGATTTGTTTTTCTTTTAATCTTGTTTAATTTGGTATTTTCTTTGTTCCAAATGCTTAGCCATTTATTATTAATGGTTAAATTTATATATATTTTTTGAATCACCATAAGACATTTATTTGATTAAAGAAGTTTCATTTTTGTTAATAGAAATTGAGACTTGTTCGTCGGTTATTTCGTTATCTAATATTATCGGCTGTCCAAGTATCAATATGACATTACTTTATACAAAGAGAGACGTAGTTTTATTTTGTTTTCACGAGTGGATAAGATATATTATACTTACTGGATATGGAAGTAAATAATAATATAATTCAATGCATATAGATATCGCTTTAAAATATATCATAAAATCGTATAAAAATAATGTAAAAGTGGCTACAATAATATTACTTTTTAGTTTTTATCTGTAAAAAAGTTTATTTTTACATTTTAGATAAACGTTTTTTTATTGTAATTTTTAGTGCACTTCTGTAATAAATTATATCCGTACATTTTTTACTGCAAACGTATAAGTTCTTTATAAGAAATAGTTATAAGGTATTATTATTATTTATTAGTTATTAGTTATTACTTATACAATTTCATTAAGTAGGTATTCATATTCTTCCATGAATATTGTACATCATTCATAATAATAGCTGCTTTTTGTACAATATGTAATTATTCAATTGTAAATTTAGTTACTATGAATTTAATTGCATTACATATTTTTAGCAACTGTCTTATATTAGGTCACATAACATAACTAAATGTATCAAATAAATTGCTTATTTAAAAACAAATAATTCATTTTACTGATAATATTTTGTTTTATTATTTAAAAAGTAATTCACCACTTTATCTTAGTTGAATATTGATAAAAATAATGCGAGCAGTTTAAAGTTTAAATAATATATGCAACATTAGTTGATCGTCAATAATTATAGGGTCCAGTATTCAGAATAAATAATAATACACTTTGAATACATTCCTCAATACTCAATATTTTACTTTTTCGTTACTTTAATATTATATTATGATATCTAATTTAATTGGTTTCAGTTAGATATATTAATTGTAATAGGAATAGCTAACTATTTAATATAAAATATTAAAGTAATTATAATATATAAAATATTCAATATAATATATAATCGTATCTATAAATATAATCCTAATCCATTTTATAAATTCATAACATGAAGTGTTTTTTTATTTTATGTATTGGGTAAGATTGGTAAGAAAAAAAACTAAAAGTTTTTTATTCCAATATTTTAAGAATTTTTTTACATACAATATTTAAATAACAGTTTTATTGGTATGTATGTTGTTTCCACACAAAGTGTGGGTTATTTTTTTCACAAAAAATATATTATCGCATTAACTATTGACTTTTGTTTCAATAAAATAATTTTAAAAAAAAGATTTGAATTAACAAATAAGTTTATTTTGTGTTTTTTAAAGATTGTTTTCAAATAAATTATCATCATTTGAGACGTTTGAAAAAATAAACACGATACTTATATTTTTAGATTTTAGTAGTTTATTCATAGAAAAAGAAAAAAATGCAATACAACAGTTTAATACGTAAGTAGTTTAGTAAAAATGAAGTAAAAAAAATAGTTTTATGTTTAAGATTATGAATTGCAAACAGTGATACACTGTTGTCTGTTACAGACGTACGTATTCTATCTAAATTCGCCGTATTTCTTTTTTTTAAAAGTTTTTTTCATTTAAAACAGCCTTCATTCAAATTTATACATTTAATTTTAAATTAATATAATATATTATACACTACACAAGTTAATTTTTATCTTTATAATGATAAATTATTTATTTTTTTTATTTGGTTTTTTTAAATCACTGTAGTAAATTGCTTCATGTTACCAACGAAGGTGTTTCGTTTCATTTTACTTTTATTACATTTTTACCATATGACAAAAGCTATTCTAATTAATATGTAAAATTGATAATAAATTAAAATTTTTAATGATATACTTAATTACCAATAAAACCTTGAAAAAATTTTAAGTTTAACCATATAGTTATTGTGATAATAAATTTCTTAAAATTCTAAAATAAGAAAATTCGGTACATATAAAAATTACGTCTATATCTTAAATACCGTGTTGAAAAAATTATTAACAGGTTTTACAACTGTGTTTTCATCTAACATTAGTTAATAAACAAACATATAATTAAAATAAGATAATTATATAATTTTATCAAAGATTTTTGATAAAATTGAAACCAAAATATATTTATGTTAACTTATAATGTCGATAATATTATATATTTATAATTTATAATTTATTAAAAATACACAGTTTCATTGGATTTTATTTGTTCATAATATATGATTTTTCGAGATCTTGAAAACTGTAATTTGTTTAAATAATAAATTAGAAATGTGTAGGTAGATAGGTATTTACATGTATATATATATATTTATTTATTAAATATTATTCAATTATAAATAATTATAAAAATTGATAGTAGAAGTGATTTTCTTTAAAAACCAAAAGACGAATAATTTTTAAATATTTTATTAATTTTTAAATTACTGTACATTTCTTATATAAATATGATGACTTATAGTAAATATCGATATTAAGAAACCTTAAAAACTATGGCTATTAATATGTATTGAAATATTAAAGGCTGAATACAACTTTAAAAGCTATGTTGAAATGTGAAACTTTTTTTTTTTTTACTTTTTATTTTAAAGCGTACAATCTGTAAATAAATTATTACAATAAGTACGCATGCGAAAATATGTAATATAGCTTGACATCAACGTGATAAAAGCAGCCACCCAATGGCGACACTTTATGACATATTAGGTTGAATTTAAATTTACCTTATATGTTTTGCTAATTGATATTTAAGTCTCTACACCACTTTCTCAATGTGAAACTTAATTATAAAATATTAGTGTTCAAATTATAGGCGAAGTTTCTGTTTTCGTATAGACAAACAATTGCAATCTCACGAAAATTTCCGAAATAATTAAAATTTAAATGATATTATACTATAAATAATATACTAGTGAAGTTACTTACTCCTGGGCTTGGTCTAGGAGCTCCGCTAATTGGAATTGATCTTTCTGGATAGTATCCTTTCATATTTCCAGAATTATTTCCGTCTACAGCTTTTTGTAATGCCACCATTAGTCTATCTAACAATAATGCAGTCCTTTTTGGCACAATCACCTATATATAATAACCACACAATATTATTTAAAAATAAATCGATAATTATGAAAATTAAACAAAATTTTATTTATTTAATAACGCCCAATCAAAAATCAAAACTATTTCACTTGGTAAGTATAATATTATATTATAGTAAAATCCTGACGATAGAAGTTTTTTGTTTTATATAAATGAATAGAGTCGGCGTTAGTGAAAGGACCTCAATATATATTGATGCTTTATCGAATAGGTAAATAAATACAATATGTTTACATTATTATTTTATATCTAAGGATTAATTAATTTTAATTCTGATTAGTTTATCCATACTTAAATTTGAAATTATTATTTTTCAGATATTCGAATGAGAATACAATCATATATATATTTAATATATTATATACAGCAAGTATATTTGTAGGTATATTTTTAATATAAGTAAAGGTATTTTTTTAAATGAGGGTATTATAAGCACATTAAGTTTCACGTATTGATTATTACTTTTTCGTAAGGCTTGAGAATATAATATTGTGTATTACGATACATACTTTGCGTAGTACAAAAAGTTTAATAAAAAAAATAAATAGGTACAGATGAAGGGGACTAAAAATTCGATGTATATAGAACGAAAAATTTAAATTTGTATTTCCTGTAGACATATAGAATTAATATATCATATCATATGATTAATTTATTAACAATTAATACTACATTCGAATTGTATATAATCAATTTATTTAAATCACAGTCGTGAATAAAGAATACTAAATTACACTATTTTCAATAAGATTATAACGCTTGTATACTCGATCAGTTCAATTTGAATAATTCATATGAAATCAGCGATTACTTTAAGTGGTAGGTGTTTTACGTATAAATGTACGTAGTGTTTACACGTAGAAATAACCTACATGTGTATATATTATCTAATATTCACAGTAGATTTACAATATTGAACTCTGGAAAAACGGAAATGAGTTTTATATAATATGATCTTGCAAATAAATCAAATCAAAAAAATCAAAAATCGTGTCGTGTCGTTGTCATTCGTTATCTTTGCACTCTGTGTCTATATCTTCACGGTTATTCGAGTAAGAAAATCAAAAACTCGGTACAACGTACTTTATAAAGCCTTATTATATCCATGATAATAATAATAATAATAATAACAATTAATACTATTTTTATTAAGCATTATTTGTTTCCACACACCAGCCATACACCGACATCTAGTTTTAGATAGGTACAAATAGAGCATAATACAGACGACGATCTTTTAGTTCCAATATAATCGAGACAAGCGTAGGTAATAAAAACTGTAGGGCGACATTTCATTAAAATTTTAAAATGACCAGGACCGTTGGTGTATATATTAATGTGTGAATGTGAAAGTTTTAACGACTCGAGTTTATTTCGTTTGAAAATTGAAATCGTGGACATAAATAAATGGTACCTAAAACGTCACATATTTGTGTACAATAAATACGTGAATATAGTGTTATCGCATTGTACCATTATGATAATGTACATATTTTAAACGGGGTCTTCCCCGCTTACTTAAAAATATTAAAGCACTTTTTGACCATATTTTTATAATACATAGGTACTTTGGTAAACACTTATTTTAAATAAATTACAAATTTAATAATTATATTTTGATGACGATATATATTTTTAAATTAATTTTTTTTTGAATTTACAACATTCTTATCACAAGCCCATTCTCTTTTATTCTTAACACATTATTCTAATTAAAGACAAATACTTACTAATGTACAAATACACAATACATTTTTAGAGAGTAATAAAAGCCGTTTCCTCGTGGTACATTCTGGATAATGCTAAATGACTTTTAAACTAATTTACACAAATGAATAATAAAGTGTTTCCTAAAGTGTTTACTATAAAAATGTGGTCAAAAGTGCTTTAATATTCTTGAGTGAAAAGGGAAAGAGTTTTAAAATATTTTGGCGAAAGAGTCTTGCCCATTTTATGCATTATATTATGATAGCTGATAGAGGGTAAGATTAGATTTTATTGGGTATTAATACATTGTCACCGTATTTCGTGAGATCCGTATTTAGAATTGTCTTGTCATTGAACAAATTAAATAATATTGTTTAGGTAGTAAAACAATTTTATGATTTTATAATCATTAATAACCACATCATCTTATGGTGAACTAGGTATTTGATATTTTCAACTATTTGCAATACAATATCATGGTGACATATGTATCTATGGTGAAGGTACCGACCGGGTATTCGTCGAATTCGACCGATACGTTCTTATCGTTGTTCGATGGCTGGTCTTCGGGTGTCCGTTTGTCGTATCTGAGTAATGTGAAGGGGTCCAATGGTTTTTGAAATGTCGAATCGCACAATGCAACCATACATAACGATATCAGAAATAAAACTATTTTCTTCCGAAGAACCATACTGATGATTATTTTATTAAAATCCACCTGAAAGTCAATGTTGACAATTTAAAAATAATTTAATATTAATTAATATTTATCCTAATGTGACAAATTCTATACACCAACTTGTACATGGCGTATATTTCTGTATAGTTTTTAATGAAACGTGAGCTGTTAAAATTTTTAAATAAAATCGTTAGTGCCAGGTTGCACAAAAAAAAAAAAATTGATTAATTTGATGGTTCATTAAAATTTAATGGTCTACTAAATCATGCTATATAGTTATAGTCACCATTAGTTCACTATTGATTCAATAAATATTTAGTGATTGTTTATGCAACTCGGATACTCGTGCAGTTTATACAAAAAGTCACATTAAACCTCAGTGTAACAACGTCATCTATGTTACACTACCTCAATACTCCTTTTTTTTTTTTAAGGAAGGTATCACCAGTCACCACAAAATACACACATACTTAATAACTATTAGTATTCACATATTTATTACATTATAATAATTTAAAATATTATATTCGAGGTATACTTAATAACGTTACTTTAGAAGTATAATAATACTTAGACAGAAATTAAATAATAAATTTAAAATACTGATTAGAAACAACCATATAGAATACACCAATTATTATGAAGTTATGCATACGATCGTGCAATCACATCTATTTTAGTGATTCATTTTATTATATTTTTGTATTTTTGAAAATTTTTTTATACTGTTTAAAATTTAGTTATTATTATTTATTAATTATTATGTATTGATTATATCGGAAATCGATTGAAATAAGTATGCTTTATATTTATCTCTTTCAAATTAGCTATAATAATTTAAATAAAAATTATGTTTTTAAGAAACAATTTTTAAATGATGAGTACTAAAATATTGTATCTGATAGAAATTCATTTGTTTCTTATGTGTGATTATTATATGAATTAAAAAAAAAGTACTTATTTGTTTTAAATTATTAGGTACTAGGTATTACTATAATATTAATTAGGGAATAAATGTGTAAGTATGCAATATGTTAATAAACGATGTACCATGTATCTATATAAACTTTTTAACTACTTAGTAAATATAAAGTATAGATAAATGTTGAGATATTTTATTGGCGATAAGTACATCAAACTTCGAACTGGTATCTATTTGAAAATTACATTTTGGGATGTGCAGTTATAATCTTATGCGCTTATAAATTAACATGTAATCCATAAATATCTTTAAGAAAAGCTTTTTGAAAGAGATTTTTTTATGAGAAAAGTAATAAGAGCTGACTATTTATAAAACTTCTAATATAATTTAATCCGATAGCTTCTCTTATTTCTTAACATCTAAAACGATTATATTTTTACAGTTAAATAAAATTCCTTTATTAACATGCCTTTTACCTAGTTGTTATTTCATTTAATTTATTTTAATAGCATGTTATGGGCTACGACTCCGACTGTATTAAAATGTTGATGTTATTTATATATATGTATTTGTGGACTGGGGGTTTTAGGATATTATTCAATGTATGGAATTGGGTTTCAGTTATGTAAGTATTAACAGTTTTGTACCGAACATTTTTGACATGCATGTGATTCTCGATGATCCCATAACGATCATTACAGTTGAAAGATTCGAGGAAGCTAAAAAACTAACATAACATTATTATTCTATCAAAAAGTTAAGTTAGATTATTAACCTATATATATTATATAGTTCATAGTTAGCGAGTCGTCTTGAATAATTAAAGTATAAAATATATTTAGTACAGGTAGTATGCAGTATTAGGACAAGTGACCACATAATAATTGTTTATTAACCAAACCTACCATAAATATAAGTTGAACATATAAAATAATATATACAAAGTTTAATTTATAAACTACATTGTAGATAATTCAATAATATGTATTAATATTTAGTGTGTTTATTTCATTCAGAGATATTTTCTATATTTATATTATATTTTTGTTTAAATTGAATATACTTGCCTAATAATAGCACTCTGCACTCAAACTGGTATTCAGTCAAACTTAGTTTTAAAATGTGTACAGTGTATACCTAACATAAGAATTGTAAAATGAAAAGTACTGTTTTCTCAGACTTTACCTATTTATTAATAACAAAATATTCTTAATTATAAATAATCATTAATTATAACAATTAATAATAATAATAAAAAAAAAATGTATGAGTATCTACTATAAATTTTATCAATATTATAGATAATAATCTAATCTGATTATCAGAGTTTTATAGACAAAATGAATGTAGGTACCATGGTCCATGATAAAATAAAAAAAAAATAAAATATATTTCTGAACTAGTGAAGTATAAAATGTATTGTTTTTTAATTAATGTTTTTTAAGTTAAAATTCAAAACAGTTTACATAACTAGGTAAGTAGTCGAAACATTAAAATAAAAAGTTTTTTTTCCATGCTATTTGAATATAACATTACCGAGGTAACATAATAAATATATTAGGTACATATAAAAATAATAATTGTACATACTGGATTATATTTTAATTTTTCCTTTGATACGTATATTGTATGCATTAAACATACAATAATAAATTATTAATTACCTAAATGACAACATAACACAATAAATTTTATATACTTATATGACTAAATATATCATATATATTAAATTTGTATAATGATTTGTAATATGTGAATGTTTTAGTATATTCTGCATAAAAAAAAATAAAAAAATGCATTCAAACTTTACAGTTCAAGATTTTTACATTAGTCGACGTTTTAAAGGTATGTAAATTAGAAAATTAAATGTTAAATTATATAAATTATTTGTTATTCCGAGGATGTACTTATATTATCTTCAGTAATTTCGAATAGTCATCGTTGTAACCTTTAAAAATTAAAGTTAAAAAAGTTAAAAGGATAGAAATTTAATACAATGATGATAATAATAACCATAATTACAAAGACTGAAGTACTTATTTATTATTAATTTAAGTAATGAGAAATATGGTTAATGTTAATTGACCATTTTTATTTTGATGTAGGTCGTTGTACTTATTTTTTGCTTTAAACGTTTTTCATTGTAATATTTAAAATATTATATTCGTGATAAAAAAAAAAAAAAAAAAAAAAAAACAATTGTTATATGACTGTATAAGTGTTATTAATATATTTTTTTTTAAATAAAATAAATTTAAATATTAAAATGTATATTTTTACATCAACAAAAATGAAATATAGTCAAAACGTATACACATATACATTAACAATAAGAGTTTTCTTGATGTTTTTACTTGTATATACTATTAAAATACATTATTGTTTGTAAATATTTCCACTTCACCACTCGAAAAAACATACTCGAAATTGTGTTATTTTTGTTTGTACGCGTACTTATTTGAAATTTAATAAATGTCAAATATTTTTACGATAACTAAATTTATACGTATTTCTGAAATTATAATAACTAACACTAATAGATATCAATACTATCATTAAATTAACAAAAAATATTATGCCTAATAATAATGATTTTTATTATCATATAATATATAAAACTATGAATACAAAAAGTTTGATTACATACAATGCATATACCTATTATAAAATTAAACTTAAATAATTAAATATAATAATTTTTGATACAGAGTTAACGTATTAAATTTAACATTTTTTAAATTATTTTTGTCGTATAATTTTTAACTACGTTTATATTAAATAATATGAACATATTTCATTTGATTTAAAAACTTTTACACATAAGTCATTATTAATTAAAGTTACATAAAATGGTTAAGAATAGTATTTTAAAGTAGTTAATTAAATTTTTTTTCAAATAATATTTTCGGCAAAATAAACAAGCATGGTAGTTTATTATATTAATGCATGTATATTTATTATAACACAGAATATTAATATATAGAAATTACACTATTTATTTAATATATTAACTATTAAAAACGTTATATTTTTATGTGTACTAACCTTGTTGAATAATAATGAATTTATACAACTGCATTGGTGTGCAACTAGAAAATGTATGATCGGTTTCTGGATAAATATTCGTTTGTAGTGCAATGATTCGAAAGCCGCAAAACTCACCAACACACGAGACTATAAACAAGTGATTCTTCAGGATCCAAGTTGCGGCGCCACCTACTTACGTCAACTATTTAAACGCCCTCCTTTTATTTACTTCATCATAGTCTCATAATAGTTCATTCGTAAAATGAACAACTGACTATATTTTCTGTAACTTTATTATATAAAAAAAAAAAGTGATTTAATTGTTATTTTTTTGCTGATGTCCAAATTCTAATGTCTTTGAAAAGCACTATACTACATTACCACTATAACTAATTTTCAAATAAAAACAAGGTATATAATTAAAATAATATGTTAACTATGGTAGTATTGATATTAAACATTCAGTTTAATATTTTGACTTACAATCAATTAATTACTAATAACTCGTTTTATTTTTACGTTTTAAATTAGAATTGCTTATGTAGTATGTATTGTGTATAAAAATAGTGTTAAATTGTTAAAAATAATTTTACATGGTTTTATTTTAAATTGGAGTAATTTGATGTTATTTTTTAGTTTTTTAAATTAAATACAATTAACGGACTTTATATAATTCGGTATTTATGATGAGAAGTTTAGCCATTAAAATATTACATTATATCACCACATAAACGATCGATATTAGTATTAGGATTCGTATTTATCTGAATTCACATATAACAATTGAAAATAGTTGTACTTAATATTATATGTTTGTAGTTATGTATGTGTTGTAACTTATTAGTATTTCAGTATTTATGTAAATAGTGAAAACTATTTAACGAAGAATTTCATTTATATTTTATAAGGTCATTAATTCGTGAAATTATGTACTATAAATTTAACGTCATACCAATGAAAATATGAAATAAATAAGTATTTGTTTAATATTATTTATAAAATGAAAACTCAATTAGTCTCAAATGAAATATAATATGGTAAAAATATGCGAAAAGTATTTAAACACAAACTAAGTTAACATTTAATAATGGGTACAATAAGTAGGTATATTATTATTAATTCAATAATAAAAATAAACAATATCATTTATTATTAAATGCCTTTTTCAAAAATTAAAAGTTTTTTAATAGTTTCTTTAAATAAAACTGTTTCTGTTGAATATTTTAATTATTTAATATAGATTATTTAAAATGAGATTTGTTTAAGTTACTGATTATTTATAAAAATATCAAATTTAATATGATTATTTTTTAACTTATTTCTGCTTAAATATAACATACAAAAACAAAAAATAGTTTCTATAGTTTTTCTTTGATATTTGCGTAGTAAATAATATAATTCTTAAATATTTTTATGTTTATCAATGATGTAGATAATGACGATCATAAGATTTATAAATATCAAGTAATGTATGCACTTATAGTTTCTATATAGAACTTATAATGATACTTATTGGTGAAATTTCATAGTATTATTACATATTATTTCGTGGAATGTGGAATACAAATACCAACCCTAAAATTATTATATAAAAGTTGATCATAGTCCAAATTTACTATATCATAAAAATGAAGAAATCTATTTCCATAAATGAGAGTTGAAAAATGTGTTGTTTGTTATCTATTTTATATTATTCCAATCAATATCAACTTTTCATGTCTATAATTGTACATCGTAGGTACTTAAAATATTACAATAATTATTATAGTATTAAACAGTATTAATTTATGAAAATAAACATAAATCAATGATATTATTGTTATGTATGGATAATATAGGAGAGATGGTTGAAAATAATAAAATAAATATTAAATGCATAATTTATTTTATTGACCCATCGATGACATGTATGACAATTAAGTTGGGGGAAATAGTGTAGGTATTGTAGTATTTTCCAGAAAATAGTTATTTTTGTTTTTATTTACTCAATATTTTTTATTAACCCATATTATGATAATAAGGCAAACATAATTATGATAATAAGGCAAACATAATTATTTTTTTCAAATTAAATGTGGTTGTTTCTGTTCAAGCAAAAAAAATTAAAAATCCCATTATTTAAAAAAATATTATTAAAAATATTATTTAATGAATAACTGAAGTATTAATTTATATATTTTCATTTATATGTTATTAATGAATCCATTTAATAATGAGAAAATTACTTAAGTAAGAATTGCACCATTACAGGCATTACATTTTTTCAAAAAATATCGAATTATAAAATAATCGCATAGTAATAAAAAAGTAAAAAAGAATTTCTGTATAATATGATACAGACTGAATAAAAGGCTTGTTGATATATTTGCTCGGTATCCCGGTGAGCTTATCTTTATTCACCTCCAAATTAATTTTTTTTGCCAATGTTATTATCACGACGAAAACAATAATGATAAATGATTATGTAGTTCAAAAATAATTACACTATAAATGTATTTTCTTCCATAAAATGTAAACATTATAAACTTTTATATCAATACTATATGTCATTTTGTTTCGAAATGGAGTTCAAATTCTTATAAATATATATTAAATATTATCTAATTTTTGTTTTAATTCATAAAAATGTATTTAGGTAGAGACAAATTCGTTTTTAATATGCTTTTTGTTAATCGTATTCTATATATCTATATAGTTTGCAAAAGGTAAAAAATTATGAGTTACAATCGCAGTATTTTTAAATATTGTCCAGTTTAAATATTAAGTTATAATTTTGATTGACTTACCTCCTTTGAGCTTTGTAGCTTATGCTGGAGATAGGGAGTTATTAAAATTATTAAATATTACAGTAGTAAAATAAATATAAACACAACCAACTAAAAAATAAAGCAGAAACGTTAACATCAAAAAACGTCTTTCTTCAGTTCTAAAAATAAATACTTACATATTATGCATTTAAAATTTATATTATTATTTATAATTATTTTTGTTTTTTTTTTTTTTTAATTTAAGAGACATAAAATTAAAGAAAGTTGGTCCCAGATAATCTATTAAAGACTGACCAAATCATTTGATGGCATATTGAACTGGAAAATTATAATTTCTAAGAACATAAAACAATTTTTTTGTACTGGTATCTTACTGGTAAAAACATAAATTATTTATAATTTTCATTTGTAGATCCGACTATTAATACAGATTTAAAATTTTTACAGTTTAAAATTTTTTCAAATAAATTTATGTTCATGTTTTAAATATTACAAAATATACTGAATTCATATCACAAAAATGAATATTGGACGATTTTTCGTAATGTTTAAAATATTGTTCTAATAGCTATCATTTATGTATTTTATCAATATTTTAAGTGATGAAACAAACTTGCAGTTATTAGCATAATTTTATTTCTGTTTCAGCTTTTAGTAAAATTTGTTATTTAAACCAATAGTCTCATTTGAATATAAAATATTTACCGTTAATTATAATAAAATCCTGTTTAAAAGCTAATAAATTTATTTAAAATATGTTATCAATGAAAATAAATTATTATTTATTTATTTATTTTTTTGATTGGGACACAACTCATATAACCAATACTTTCAATAGGCAATAAACGATGGCAGCAGAGAAGTAGTATTGTTCACACAGATCCTCCTCTGATTTAGATTTAAACGGAAAAAAGTACTAAAAAATGTATATGCGGCCATGTGGGTGATAAACTAGCCAAATATACGACATGACATAAAAATTGAGATTAATTCGTAACAAAATTATTATTATTATTATTATTATTTATTATAATACAATTTGTAGTTTGTACGCAATATGCATATAAGTTATAGCAATATAATATGCAAGGTAAAAGTAAACTATTTAACTTTAAAACAAAATTGAAATGAATAAGTGAAATGTAGTTAGGCTGATTACTTTAATAGTTAATATTCATTATCTCAATAAATATTGACCTTTTTAAAAATAATAAAAAAATATCAGTTATAATAAAATATTTTTGGAAGAAAACATTTTTTTCTAATTATTTTTAAAAATTAAAAATGAATGTTTTCATTTAAAAAATTTAAATACCTAAAAAAAATGATGACGATAAAAATATAATGAAGTATAACCATTTTTTCAAATATTGTATTATAATTACTTTAAACTATGTAAAAAATATATTTTCAAAAGGATTAAAAAATTTCGATATGATAAATTTTTCTGTTAAAATAATCACTTAATGTCATATGATTTTATAATTTTTATATTTATTGATTGTTATTATTTTGTATTATAAGAAATCATTTAGGAAAAGTAGATTGAATAATATAAAAAAATGCTTTTAATTGATTTTATTTTTTAAACATATTTAATTAAAATAATATTTCTAGTTAACATTATCACTTACTAGTGACGAGTTATCATTAATTAGTTCTATTCCATAAAAAAAGTTCATCACATTCGGATTATAGAAATCATAGAAGTATTTAATGAAATACATACGAAATAAGAAATTTAAATTTTTAAAAAAATTATGTATTAAAAAAAGAATAAATTACTTGATTTTAATAATTCTGAAAAACTCTACAACGATTAAGTATTAACAATTATTAAAAAAAATATAATAAATGATATTATGAATTGTTGTATTATGTCTGTGTAGATAATATAATACGTTGATATAACATTTAAGACCGCACAGTAATACAATATAAATTATAATATAGTTTTAATGGAGAATTTTAATCAAAAATTTACAGAATATAAGACTATAGAAAATAGAGAAACCATAACTCACAAGTTCATAACATTTATTAAAATTAAATAGTCACGATGATAAAGAAAGAGTTAGAGTTTAATAAAAATATAGTCTTTTGTTAAAATGTTCTTTATCAAGAACTTAATTTCTATATTATGTGTATAAAATGTGTGTGTGTGTGTGTGAGTATAATGTGTCTCCGAAGAAGAGTTACTAAAACCATTATAAATAGAAAATGAGTTAGTATTTAAAAATGTTTTTAAAAGCACTAAAAAGCTGAAAATTTATAAAAGAAAATTAATATTTAAAACTAAAAAAATTATATAATAATGAAATAACAATTTTGATATGTTAAGTATTTTAAGTAGTTTTGAAAAATGATATAATCAGACTTAA